TTGTGGGGTTCACATTATGCATCTGATCCCACCCATCTCCCCATCTCCTTGAATCTGCCCTCTGTCCTTGCAGCATCCCCCGTAAAACAAAATTTAAAAGAAAAACCAAAAACCACACAAAACTAAAAATCAGGAGGAGGAGGAGGAGGAGGAGGAGGAGAAGAAGAAGAAGAAGAAGAAGAAGAAGAAGAGGAAGAATCTTGTTGCGGAAGCTGCAGTGTAACCCTTTGAGACACACAGTTTACCCTTTAGTCCATTCATCCTTACTTGCAAGTGTTCATTACCATGAGTCATTGGTCAGGCTTGAGGCCTCTGGCATCTGCTAGTCCACCGACAATGGGCTCTCGCAGGGGCTCCTCTCAGATATCCTATTGCTGTCCTGTGTCATGGGGATCCTGCTGTTTTGGATCTATGGGCTCTTTCCCCTCACCTGCTCCAGCAGTTCATAGATTCGGTGGATGTTGGGGCGGGCAACTCATAGCCCTGGATCTGAGCCTGGGTGGTAGCTGGGTTGGTCAGTCCACCAGTGGTCCCCCGTTGTCACTACCTGGGTGAGCTCTCCAGCACCGCCTGGGCTAGCTCACCCAACACACCTATAGCAAGGAGTAAGTCCAGTTCTTCTGCTCTTGGGCCCCAGATCTGGCTTCCCGTCACACATCACCACGACCAGCTCTACTATTTTGCCCAGGAAGGTGCAGGTCCCTCTCTCCCGATCACTTTAGGGGGCTACAGGTGTGTATGGAGGGCTCAGCTCTCCTGCTCAGTCCTCAGGGCTGACTCACCTGTGCCTCCAACAACAGGCTCCAGTCTAGCGTGCTGTTCAGGCAGGGTGCAGGGCTGCTCTCCGGTGTGCTGTGGCTGCAGCCGGGGAGGGATGGGGCTTTGCTCTCCCTTTTAAGTGAGCTTCTTGCTGTTTACATTATGGCCTGTTGGGTTGTTTTGCCGTCAGTTTTAGTGTTTTGTTCAGTTTTCCAGGAAGGGCAGTCATTTGCCTTCTTTCCCCCCAGAATGCTGAGCTCAGAGGCTCCAGCTTTTCCATACAAATAATGTCTTTGCAATGCCACTTTTATTATCCTCAAATATTATAATGCAGAGGCGATATCACTTTACACACATAATTTCAAAATATCAATATATTTAACATAAAGGAACTATTAGAAAAACTAATTTGGAATGAAATTGCACACATACAGAAGCTAGAAGGTTAAAACTCCATTTCAGATTTCTGAATTCCTCTTTTGAGTGACGCCAAGTCCTCTTGCACACACATACACATGAACACCACACCACACTACACACACACACATACACACCATATACATGAACACCATACACATGAACACCACACTACCCACAACACTACATACCACACACATACAACACATACACACACACCACACTACACACCACACTATACACCACCCCACATACACACACCACACTACATACCACACTTACACACCACACACACATACACACCATATACATGAACACCATACACATGAACAGCACACCACACTACACACACACTCACACACACACACACATACACACCATATACATGAACACCATACACATGAACAGCACACCACACTACACACACACACTCACACACACACATACACACCATATACATGAACACCATACACATGGACACCACACTACCCACAACACTACATACCACACACATACAACACATACACACACACCACACTACACACCACACTATACACCACACCACATACACACACCACACTACATACCACACTTACACATAACACAAACATATGCACATACCACCCCACAAACACATACATACCACACTATACACCACACACAACACCCTACACACCACACACACATAATACTACATAACATAGCACACACAACACCACACACACAAACACACACACCATACTACACACCACAATACACCATACACAAGAACACCACACTACACACCACATATACATACACACATACACACCACACATATACACACACCACACTACACACAACACACACACACACACACACCATGAATATCCTTTTCCCAAAGAGAACATTAATTTCCAGAGAAACGTGTAGTTCAAACCCATGACAGAGCAGTGTCCGTACCAGCCTGCCTCACACTTCGCTAGTTTGCTGTGTCTCACAGGACAACTTCTTTCCCCCGCCCCGCCCTCCCCACAAGCCATGCACGGGTGTTTATAATGTCTTCCATCCTTTCCTGATTTCATGTTTGCATCGTCTCATACTTCCTAGAAATCATAAACCAGGCTCACTAGAAACCACGCCCTTCTGTTTGATGAAAACTATCAAGATGTTCAAAGCCTGGGCTGTAGCCTTTTATTAACGTGTATGGGCCAGGTAAGCATCAAAGGAACTCCACCCCCTCGTTCTGCTATGTTTAGGCTGAAGCAGAGGCGGGAGGTGTGAAAGGCAGTTTAGTTATCTGCTCTTCCAGAATAGCTTTGTATAGATTATTACAGCCTCTAAATTTTAATCTTACCTTTGATTTTAAAATAACGCTTAGGGGTTGGGGAAATGTCTCAGTAGGTCATTGTTGCTGCACAAGGATGAGGACCCTGGTTCAGATCCCGACACCTATGCATGTCTACAACTGGTGCTAAGAAGGAGGAAACAGACCAATCCTTGGGGTTTGCTCGTCAGTCAGTCAGTCTAGGCAAGTTGGCATCACCATGTTCAGTGAGAGGTATCGAGTCAAAATATAGTGTAGAGGATTACGTCAACCTGTCTTCCATACGCATACCCACATGTGTGCACACTTGCATACAACACACACACACACACACATTTAGGTGACAGATGACAGCGGTCCATCTGGCTAGCATGGGATAGCACCTATGAGCAGGAGTCTGGGTCATATTCTCTTCTGCTAGGCTCTTGGATCACTTCCGGCTCTTGCTATGGCCAGAGCTTGGGATTTGTATATTGGGTTTTTTTGTATCTTTAAATCAAGCTGACACATAGGGACAGCCCATGGGACATTTTCTTAACCAATTATTAATGTGGTAAGGCCCATCCCATTGTGGGTAGTGACACCCCTGAGCACTGAGGGGTGTATTAAACAGCAGGCCGAGCAAGCTGGCAAACAGCACTCCTCCATGGCCTCTGCTTTAGCTCCCACCTCCAAGTTCCTGTCCCGACTCCCTTTGATGATGGACTGTTCCATGAGACCTTAAACCAAATAGACTCTTCCCTCCTCAAGTTACTTCTGGCCATGGTGTTGGCCAGATAGAGAGAAAGCCTAATGAGAATAGCACCCAGCCAAGGAAGGCAAGGAAAGATTCTCAAAGTTCTCACAGGATTTCAGCTCCTTAAGTAGCACCTGATGTTTACTTTAGGGCGAAGGGGATGACTTTGTGGAGTCAGTGTTTCCTGTGCAAACATGAGACCCAGAATTTAGATCTGCAGCACCTTCATGAAAGTTGGGTGGGTGTGAGGGCCTGCCTATAATCCCAGAGCCCAGGAGGTAACACACAAACCCCCTAAAGCAAGCTGGCTAGCTAGACGCTGCCAGTGGGCAAGCTCCAGGTTCAGCAAGAGTCCCTGCCCCAGTAAGTAGAGACTGATCAAGGATGGCACCAGGCACTGATGCCTGGTTTCTGTATGTGCTTTTTTCCTTATTTTTGGTCTTTAGAGACAGGATCTGATGTAAATCCAGGCTTGGCTTGAAGTCACCATGCAGCAGAGACTGGCTTTGAACTCCTGATCCTCCTGCCTGCACCTTCCAAATGCTGGCATGACAGCTGCATGCTACCTTCAACTTTGTTTGCAAGGCTTTACTTTTGAAAAATGATGTCAAGCAACTGAGCCAAAATGTTTAAGAGCTAATGAGATGCTGAATATACTGTTCACAGAGGCAAAAAGGTAAAGATGGCATGAATGGCTAGCTGACCGGATTCAATTCTGGCTTACTCATTCTTGACTGTGGAAACCACAGTAGTGTCTTGGTGTCTCAGTTTTCAAGTCTGTAAAATGGTGAACATAATACTACCCCATAGAATTATTGATAAGATTGCATTGATTAGTTCATAGACACTGGAATAATATTTGGTTTGGATAAAGACTTGAAATTTGGTCATTGGTAACAAAATTTTAGATATTTTGTGAAGTTGTCTTAAGAAATTGAAAGATTTCCCTAAAGTTCCCCCAACTCTTGGGGCTTAGATATGTTTCACAATTAGAATCTTTGGTTGTCAATTATACAATATAATTAGTGGCATCTAGAGTAAAAAAAATAACCTTAATGAAACGTGGTATAATTTTTCACTGAAAATTAGCAATATTCACTAAGAGGGATAGATAAAAATTTTTAGAAGTTTCAGGTCAAGTCAGGTTTTATTGCCAAATAAATAAGCTGCAAACTTTCCTGAAGTTTTTTTAGAGTATTTTGGGTCATGAAACTGCATGTAAGTTTCACTGGAAAACATGTAATTCACAAATTTCGCTTTGTTTTTAAAAACAGTATATACATATTTGTGGTTGTTTGAAGGAGAATGACTCACATGTCTGAATACTCGGTCCCCAGTTAGTGAAACTGTTTGGAAGGGATTAGGAGGTGTGGCCTTGTTGGAGGAGGTCACCGGAGGTTGGCTTTGAGGTTTCAAAGGCCACATGCCATCCTCACCGTGTTCTCGGCTTCTTCTTGCGGTTTAGAGACGTAAGCTGTTCTAACAGCACGCCTTTACTCTGCCATCGTGGACCCTAATCCACTGGAACCACAAGCCCAACTAAATGGTTTTTAAAATGGGTTTCTATGATTGCGATATTTTACCACAGCACTATGGAAATGCAACTAATACAATATAGAAAGGACAGTTTAAGCCATTGTAGTGACTTGAATGAGACGCTTCCCACAGGCAGGAGGAGGAGGCATGACCTGGCTGGTGACGCATGTCATGAGGGTTAGGCTTTGAGAGTAGAGACCCTGCCTGTATCTAGTTTGCTCTTTCTGCCTTGTGTTTGCCCTTCAGATGTAAACCCCCAGCTTCCTGCTCCTGCTGCCAGACTGATGCTTGTAGCCTCACAGCCGTGATGGACCGAATAAACTCTTTCCTCCGTAAGTTCTTTTTTTTTTGGTCATGTGTTTGATTACATCCACAGAAAGTTAGCAATGCAGGCATGTTGTTGAATAGCCAAGAGTTACTTACATGTTAGAGTCTTGAGAGCTCATTGAATGATATGGTTTATATGATTTCTTTACACCTACCAGAAAGAGACACCCGTGTTTTCATACACACATGTCCAACTGCAAGTGGTCTGGAAAGAGACATGATAGAGCGTTGACAGTTGTCAATTCTGGAGAAGAGGATACGGTAGGCTGAAAGGGACCAGCCACTATTGCTCTGGATACTCTTGAAGTCTAAATTCAGTCTTCTGTAGAAATATGATCACACATATTTGAGTAATCAAATTAGCAAAGAAAAACTGTTTGGAAAAGTCAGTCAAAATAGAACTGGGATACAGGTCTGTTGACATCCACAGGCCTGCCACCCCAACTACTTAGGGGGCTGAGGCAGGAAGGTACTAAGTTCATGTCTTGTCTGGCTAAATAGTGAGTTCAATGCCACCTAAGGGGACTCAGTGACCTTCTGGCTCAAAGTGAGAAATGGCTCAGAATGAGGCTGGAGATGTTGCTCCGTGGTAGAGCGCATGCCTATCATGTTCTAGGTCCAGGGTTTGCTTCCATAACAATGGAAGAGTGATCAAGAGGGAGCAGGAAGGACAGGGTAGGGGGGCATGGAAAACCAGCTTTGTCTGAGCCCTGCTGTAATAGAAAGCTCAGGAGAAAGTATGAAGAAACAGCACAGTTTGGGTTTACATAACCAAGAACAGTGTGGGCAAATTTTCTGCTAGAGTTCCAGACTCAGCAGAACAGCTTGGGGATTTCTGTCCCAAAGCGGGTAGCCCATGAAGTATCCAAGACATGTTTTCTGATGGCAACAGAAATAGCATAAGGGCTTCTTGATCTTAGCCTCTCCAGACATCAGTAATGCTACTGTCTCACAAAGGCAATGGAGTTGCCCGTACAAATGGAGTCAGAGAGGATCTGGCCAGCAGGGACAACGGCAGATTCCAATTTTGCCTCTGTGCAATCTGTTCTCCAGGTGGGCATCCAGAAGAACCCTTTCAAGTCACGAGGTCAGGCACTTGGGATGCAGCTCAGTGCCACATTGCGAACTTAACACAAATCAGGCTGTGGTTGTGACCCCCAGCACCGCAGAAGGAAGTCAAACGATAAACAGACACATGCTTCGTGGTGTCATTGCATCAGCGGCCTCCTTGGGATTTATCCAAGTGTAACTCTCCGGAGAGGAAAACCCCAGTTCTCTCTGGTTATAAGCCTAAGGCTCCTTAGGGCCCCATATTCTCTTCTTCTCCCTTCTGGAAGAAGCTGGCTTGAGAGAGTGATGCTGACAAACCCAAAAACCAGTGGAGATGAATACAAAGAGGGAGATTTGACAAAAGAAAGACACTATACTTATTCATTTAATTTTTTTATTATTCTCGCATATATTACATCCTGACAGCAGTTTCCCCTCCCTCCCCTCCCCCACTCTGCCCCCACTCACCTCCCCTTTCGCCCTGTTCCACTCCACTCCACCTCCCCTCAGAAAAGAACAGGCCTCCTAGGAACATCCAACAAACATGGAATAATAAGCCACAATAAAACCAGGTACACACACCATCATATCAAGGCTCGACTAGTCAACCCAGTAGGATTAAAAGGGTCCTACAAGCATATATATATATATATATATATATATATATGTGTGTGTGTGTGTGTGTGTGTGTGTGTGTGTGTGTGTGTGTGTGTGTGTGTGTCAGACTCCTACAGGCTCCCTGATCTCTTTGAACCCCCTTGAGTCCTGATGAGTTAATTCTGTGGGCTGTGTTTTCATGGTGTCCCTAACCCCTCTGGTTCTGCTGGTCCTCCCTTCCCCTCCTCCCCAGATCTTCACGAGCTCCTCCTAATGTTTGACTGTAGACTCTGCATCAGCTTCCATCAGTTTCTGGATGAAGTCTCTCTGGTCTCTGATGACAATTCTGCTAGACTCTGGTCCCAGAAAACTCTGCAGGCAGGACAGACTGTAGTAGGTTGAAGATTTGGCAGCTGGGTTGGTGATCCAATCCCTCCACTTAAAGCCTAGCCTGGTTACAGAAGGCTGCTGACTCAGGCTCTGCATGCCCCATTACCCGGAGTTGAAGGGGAAATCCTGTGTATATATAAATAAAACACTGTTGGCCAATAGGGATGCAAGATAGGTGGGACTAGGAGTCCAGGAGGATTCTGGGAAAGGTAGTGAGAAGAGCTTTTGCCATGTGATCTTCCAGGAACAATGGGTGCTCAGGAGTGTGTCCTTAAAAAGATAAGCGCTAATAAAATATGTATCAGTAATTATGGGTAATAATCAAATCAAAACTAGCCGATAAAAAACCAAACAAACAGCCAACAGCTTTATAACTTGGTATTGGTATGGTATTTCATTTATTGATACAAATTCAAGGTAATTTTGTGATGTGTATATTTTAAGTATTGTGTTTATATTGATCTTTTAAAATGTAATGTATAATTAAATACATATTATAGATAGTTATAGTTAGGTAAGTTAGGTTTTCTAGATATACAGTGATATATTTGAGATAAGTAAATAGTCTTCAAAACGTTCAAAGACCTTCAAAAAATGACATTTAAAATGGTTTAGGGCTTTTCTTGACAATGAGAAATGTCTGCTCCTGACACACCAATTACTTCTGAGAGGAAGATAGACATCAAAGAAACTCGTTATGGAGTTTGCTTTCAACATGGCAAGATTAGCCATTTGGGCAAAAAACTGTTCCTGTCTAGACTGTTTGACTGTTGCTGTATAATCTGGACATGTAGGACCCATAGAAAAATGGCTGCTAAACTCAAACAGTCCTTCAGGGTTCCTGATTCATGGAAGAGTCTACGAGACTTTCTACAGGACACAAAAAAATAACTAACAGACTGCCAATACAGATGGACAGCTTGAAATTTCCTGCTTTGCTGAGAAGTATTCCAGACCTATGGGCTGATGATGGATGCCCCAACATTACAGAGGAACTTCGGGTGACTGTCCAGACAGCCAGATAGATGTCTCTGTCAATTCTAGTGTTTATATATTATCCTTCTGTGGTCTTTGATGGAGTTGATGGAGATAGTTGTAGTTACAGTTTTCCTTAGTTATGTTAAAAGGTAAGTTACATATAAGACTTTAGACTCACAAAGATAGGATAGATGATATCTTCTTTAAATCTTACTAAATGTTAATGAACTAAATATTGTAAGTTCTTACTTGATAACTGTTCTGTTATGTATAATTTGACTATGTCAAAGTTAAGACCTTTCTTTTTATTTAGACAGAAAAGAGAAGTTGATTGGGAAGTCCTGTGTACATGTCAATAAAGCACTGTTGGCCAATAGAGAAGCAAGTTGGTGGGAGTAGGAGTCGAGGAGGCTTCTGGGAAAGGTAGGGAGAAGAGTTCTCGCCATGTGATCTCCCAGGAACAATGGGCGCTCAGGAGTGAGTCCTCAAAAAGATAAATTCTTAAAAAATATATTAGTAACTATGGGTTAATAAATCAAAACTAGCCGATAAAAAACAAACAAGCAGCTAACAGCTTCATACTTAATACAGCCTCCTGTGTGTTCATTTGTGACTAACACAGCTCTAAAACCAGGCTGGCAAAAAGGCTACAGGTTACAGAGAGTCTTTGCTAGGGTTAGCCTCTAGATTGCAATGCCTCTTAATTCCAGTGGTTTCTCACAGTCTTTTCTCCCTCCCCACTTGATCCCTCCTGTTCCCAACCCCACCCAACCCAATCTATTCTATTACCCCTTACCAAGGAGATGCTTACAATCCCTCCTTGTTACATTAAGTGTATTTAAGTCCCTAAGTCCAGTCTCTCTTTGTGTCTTGGTCTGCCACAGCTCCTTCTTAATTCTGTCCCAGTGAGTCTTTCTTTCTTTGTATTTCTGTTTCTTTCCCCCCTCTCTCTTTCCTTTCTTTCTTCTTTTCATGTTAGGTGGAGCTAAATTTCTCTCATTTGATACACTAAGAATCCTGAATAAGAACCTTCCCCTCTGTGTTGGATCCTCTGGGACCTCTAATTGGCACACAGATTTTCTGTGTGGATAGCACACTTTAGTTGCTATAATGGTGGGGTTTATTTGATTTTATGGGATCAAAACTTGGTGGTCTCTGGTTCAGAGAAGCGAAGAATCCTCTGTAATTGATATAGCAGGAAGGACACAACTGCAAAAAAGGCTTACAGGACTTCGAAACTGCAATAACGAATGCCCTGTATCTGTAAGACTTACATGATGACAAGCAAATGCGTCGAAGTGTGAAGAGCTAACTGAGTGTTGGACATATTGCTCCCAGAGGAGCAAAGGCAAACATACATGACGGGCTTCGTGGCCAGGTCCAATCTCTCTTGTGAATTAGGAGCTGTGGGTATGAGATGGCTCATGATGTCACCACTTAGAGTCTTCATGTCTTGGTGTCACCGCGGTGGGCGTTAGAGCCTCTTCCCATCATTCTAGTCTTCCTTTCAGTCTGCTTCCCTGATGCTGGTCATAGCCATGCCATTTACTCTGACAAAGAGAATGCAAGTGGAGATAGAGTGTGCTACTTCTGGAAAGAACCTTCTAGAGCTGATGTGCGTTTGTGTGCTCTCTTCTTGCTGCCCTGGATATGGTGAGAACCCTGAAGTGAAGCCTCCACCTCTGCAATGATTGGGAGCAGGGGAGGGGTGCTGAGAATCCCTGCCAAGCTGCTTTTGTCATATGGGAGAAAAATAAACATTTGCTAAACATCCTGATTGCATGTCTGTCTTACCCAGACTGATGCAATTATCTAGGAAAATAGAGTACCATAAACCGTGGGAGCCTTTGCCTTTGGGCTTGAGATTCTATGATAAGTATAATCAGGGAGGATGGAAGCAAAGACTTGATTGCTTTCTAGAAGCAGTATTTTCCCCAACTCCCCCAGATTGTGTAGCCCCTATAGTGCCTTATTGACAGGGTCTGGTAACACTCCTTCAAAATCCATCCTGTAAGATATCCTCTTGCTTTACTGTCAAAATCTACTAGTGCTGATGACAGTTTTAAACTTCCATTCTTTACCAATTCCTCAAGCACAATCCAATTTAGTTACAATCAAAACATGGGCCATTCAGTTTTTATAAAGAGAAATGTCCGTTTCTCAAAATGACTACTTTTTGAAGTTTACTGTATTTTTCTTCAATCTTTGTGCCAGTGTTAGTCCTAAGAAAACTGCCTCGCTGGGCATAGTGGTGCACGCCTTCAATCCCAACACTCTGGAAACAGAGGCAGGAGGATCTCTGTGAGTTTGAGATTAGTCTACACAGTGAGTTCCAGGACAGCCAGAGTTAGGTACACAATGAGACCCTGTCTCAATAAAAAAAAATGAAACAACCTCAACAAACAAACAGGAAGAGGAGGAGGAATGGGAGCAGCAGCAGGAGTAGAACCGCTTGTACTGATTTTTAGGATAGAATTTTACTTGTGGAAGAAATAGGCTCTAGTTATGTTTACTACATTACTTGTGGAAGCTGAACTAGGCAGGTAAGATCTTCAAAGAGTTTAGTGTGACTGGTATTCATCTAGCTTGAAAGACAGAGATTTGCAGTGACACCCTAATTTAAAGTACACTTACAACTTTTCTTAATTTTTTCCAATATATATTTTTATTTAAATTAGAGACAAGCTTGCTTCACGTGTCAATCCTGGCTCCCTCTCCTACCCCTTCTCCCCTGCCCCTCCCCCAGCTCCCCCAGCCCCCCCCACCCAATCCCCACACCATTCCCCAGGGAGGGTGAGGCCCTCCATGGGGGATCTCCAGAGTCTGTCATTTCATCCAGGGCAGGACCTAGGCCCTTCCCCATGTGTCCAGGCTGAGAGAGCATCCCTCCATGTGGAATGGGCTCCCAAAGTTCATTTGTACACCATGGTAAACCCTGATCTACTACCCAAGGCCCCAGAGATTGCCGAGGCTCCTCACTGACACTACATTCAGGGGGTCTGGGTCAGTCCCCTGATGGTCTCTCAGGCATCAGTCTGGGGTCCAAGAGCTCCCCCCCTTGTCAGGTCAGCTCTCTTTGTGGGTTTCACCAGCACAGTCTTGACCCCTTTGCTTCAGATAGTATAAATCGTTTGCCTTTCACTTACAGCTTTTATGTTCTATTTGTTTGTATGTAAAATCACTACATGAAACCCCTTACACTGTATCTACCTTCTGTAGTTGCATTATCTGAGTAACTCAAGCCTATGCACGGTGGTTCATAGGCTCATGTGCATTGTACATTCAGTCCTCAGTCAGAGGCACTGTGTGGAGAGGTTATGTGGAACCTTGCTGGGGAAGTACGCCACTGGGGGCGGGCTTTGAGGAGTTAGAGCCCTGACCCACTTCCTGTTGTTTTTTCCCCTTCCCATACGCTGATGAGAATGTGATCAGCCGGCTTCCTGACCCCGCTACCATGCTTTCCCTAACTGTTGCCACAGTGGACTTCACCCTTCTG